TACACTGTCACCATCCCAATAACACTGTATGTCCTCTAGAAGTCTTAGTGAATAAAATTCGTGGCAAAAAGCAAACGTGTCAAGCATAGACTAAAGGACTAGTTGAGGATCTTACGTCCAGTCTCGTGCGTGACATGAGCGAAGAAAGCAGCAATCTCGCGCTTAGAGTCATCGGCGGACCCAACTGTGCCGAATTCGGGGTAACCACCGGCAACATCAAGGAAAGCTTGCCTAGTGTAGAAGCTCTTCCCTGCGCAACCTGCATCGGCCTGGCCAATTATCGAATTAAAGAAGCTATCCGTCACCACATCCGCCACTGAGACCCCGCTGCTCGGGGTGGTGGGCGTGGATGACGAGTAACACGGCCCGGATCGACAACCGGTCCCACAGTACGGATCTCCGACCCCGCAATACCCATACTGGCTGCAACACAGGTCGGCGGCGCAGCCACAATCTTGACCGAAGACATGTGCCGGCGAGAATCCGGCAACGAGGCTGGACACGAGGAGAATTTTTAGAAGAGCTCTTGCTATTTTGATTGATTTGGCCATTTTGAATGTGGGTGTGAGGGATGTGAATATGCAATGAGAGGTATTTATAGGAATAAGGATAGAGAGAGTAGGCACGGTTGATTTGAGGCTGCTAAGGTTGTGGAGAGTTAGCTTTGAAAATTCAAGATCTTGATGGGAAGGAGAACGTGTCGTGTCGTGCGCGTTAGGAAGCGTCGATATTGACCTTGCAAATGGACTTTGTGAGATTTATGTTCCTCTCAAAAAATCAAAAAAGAAGAAATTATACAATTGCTAAGATTAGTTAAGAAATTTAATTTATCTCTTGGATAATTGAATATGACTCATTTATAATCTTGCCATATCATTTAATAAATTAATTTTTTAAACCATCGTTTTCAAAGAAAGAGTCACAAGTTGGAGATGCCAAGTCAACTTTTTCTTTTGGTCAAGTCAAACAGTTTAATGAGCTTTCATTCATGTTGCGTAATGTTTCGACTATCGATTGACTTCGAGAAATTGTACATGTACGTACTAAGTCCATCCTTCGCATTCCAGACCAGAATAGATTGCAGAATCGAACTTAAAATCAAGTTTTTGGATCAATTGACGAACCACCGCGGTTGTGGATCGTCGGCTTGGTAGAAACATAGTTTAGAAACATAGTTGTGTGTAGATTTTACGTCGACAAAAATCAAATGCAAAATTGATGTTTTGCATAACTTTCTCCTCATCCCAATGATCAATTCTTGCGTCCTCTTCAATTTCATCACAGAAAAGATTCATACCTTGAAGGTTCTTAAGAAATTCCCCGACCGACGAACCTGAACAACAGCGCCAGTATGTGTCGAACAAAAAACCGACTTTTCAAGGTTGTCGAGATCGAAGACTAGAGTCAATATGCCGAATCACTACCTTGATAAACGAAAGATAAGAGCCTCTTGATCGTTCTAAGAACCCCTAGTAATGCACAAGCTCTCTATTTCACCGTTGATAGACATTTCTTGCTTTTACAAGCGATAAATAATAAAAGGAGAAACCACCCGCCTGGGTGGCCCTGCTGGAGCGCGCACTCTTCCTCTCGCAAAAGGTTGAGTGTTCGAATCCCGGGTGCCACAGGGTGACTTAACCGGTGCACGTGTGTGGTGGCTAGCACGTGTCGCCCCCAGGGTTTACCTCCCGGCTGTCGGCCGTGCGGGGTTCCCTGGGTCATAAAAAAAAAAATAATAATAATAAAAGGAGAATATATTTAATATTTATTGTATGACATAGAGAGAGGTTGCAATTATAAAAAACACGTAATATACTTTCGGATTAATAGTGTCAGTTTATTCCGTTCAATTTAGACCGTAGAATCCCAAACTCTTGTTATACGCTCCCACCAATCACGTTCCATGTCATGAATCGGTCAGTTAGGCCTAGGGATGCGACAATGCCTAAATTGTTTCCGCTGTCGTTCGAATTCAAGGACACCCCCTTGTGGTCTGAATGGAATGTTAACATTCAGACCACAACTTCTTCACACTTCACAGTTGCGTGGTGGAAACCTCTTTTGACTTGGTTGATTAATTCTCCGGAATTTGCTTAAAACATGGCGTTTGCTTCTTCTTCTCATCCATTGGCCTACGTGCACAGACCTTAGTTCTAAAAGATGAGGCATTGCCCCGCCTTCATTTCATGGAATAAGTAAAATAACATTAAAAGTAGTGGTATTTCACTTTTTCCATTTCCAGCTTATTCAATCGAGATAGAGACTGCATGTCATGAGCTACTTGATCTCGGCTAATACGATTATCAGTACTCGGCTTGATGATTTTCCAGATTGAGTAGTTCAAATTGTAATGAACCTATCCAATGAGGGGGGCATTCGGCGAGACTAGAGGATCTGGACAAAGAGCAAAAGAAAATTACCAAAAAAGTTTTAAATTTACTACAGTTGTGTCAATTTAGTCCTAAACCTTTTAATATGTCCAATTTAGTCCAAATTTTTTTGATGATTTTCTTCTTCTTTTTTTCCTTTTTCTTCGACGGTGTTGTGGACCACAAAAAAATAAATAACAAATAATTATAAATTATTATGAAATTTACTCCTTTAAGAATTTGTGACTCATAACATGTTGTTACTCTCACAGTAGCGTAGAGACTGTTATGTTAGCAAAGCTCTTCATTCAATTTATATGGTAAAACATTCCTTCTTTTCTTCCTAAATGTCATTAAATCATATTTATATATACGTTATTCACGGATGGAGATGTAAGTGTCGAAATTTTAAAGAGGAAAATCTTAGTTACTGCAATTTTTATCAAATTCTCTCTCTGTCCCTTTCATTTTCCCATCCTGATTAAGAACTTGTCAAATGAAAAATTATGTAGATCTATCTTCCAATTACTTCAATATCTTCTTTCACTTTCTTACTCTTACTTTGTCTAAATATGTTTGACTTTTGCATGGTTTAAATGCCTCCTGAAATTTAACTAAAAACAATTTTGATTAAAAAATATCGGGCCAGTAGAAGCATGACATAAAAGCATCCATTATTTTTCTACTTTTTTTCTAAAATTGGGTTATGTTGGTTATGTTTTTCTAGTTTTTTTTTTATCGGGAGGAAAATTTTCATTTCGTATGAAAGAGAGGTACATAATTTCAAGACAAATATGCAAATCTCACACGGTAAGTAAATCTGAAAAATGAATCAACTTGGTGTAGTTGGAGAGACTCGCTTATTCCACAAAGACGTATCTGTCATAGTATCAAAGCACAACCGACGGCCAATCACCGAATCTCATATCATCATTAGTGATGAGCACACATCAAGAAATCCATCTCCAGTAGCTACGGCTTTGCCAAAAGGAGTTGTGTGCCTAGGTTCGACATCCCCAGCACCATCACCATCACCGTATAGAAACCACAACAACACCAAAATGTTGAAAGAGCACATAAAACGTCTTATAAATCCCATATCTATATCTAAATCAGGATATAAGAGCATCAATTTACTAGTTGATCACAAAATCACTTTTAGATAAATCAATTGCAAGACAGACTTGTAGAGCACTCGATGGAGCGAGTAGATTCTTCAGATACACTCGTACTTCGATCTTTAGAGTTCACTTTCGCGAAGAATGTTGACTGCCTCGTCCGCGAAATCAACGAAGAAGTCCAGAAGATAGAGAGTTAAGAGAGACGGAGAGGGAGGGGGAGAAGGGGAGTCCCTCAGGGGAGTCGGTCCAGAGAAAAAAGGTTGGGCGGCGGCTACTTAGAGAGGAAACCCTAGGGGAGGCTCTTCCAAATATCTCAACTATGTTATTCTAGTTTAGTTAGTGAGAAAGTACCGATACTTACCTCAGCCTAAAGAGACTAATTGCATGTATTTATCAACTATCTATACTGGAACAAATGTGCGCTAAGTGGTGAGCGTGCCCAAAGCATTTTGTATTGAAGGGATAAAGAATTATTTGTCATAACCTTATACTTTATCTAGATGAGCAAGGAGATGAAAAACAAACAAAACTAGGCAAGAGAAAGAAATGTTGGCATGTGTAATTCACCCAATTTGAAAGCAAAGTGAAAATAATTGTGACCGATTGGAGACCAATAAATAATCACAATCTTGTCAAAATCATTACACAGGCTGTGGAATTGATGATGGCAAGTGATGGAATTTGAAGGGGAAAATTATTCAAAAAATCCCAAAGATATTGTACGTCAGCTAATTCAATCATAAATCTCTCAATCGTGTCAATTTAATCTTAAAACGTTTAAAAATTTACTAATGCAATCTTTCCAACCAATTTTAACTAGAAATCGTTAAAGTGGCAGTCCAGGCAGCCCCGGGCGTCCAATGGGGCGTGATCAATGATGACATGGATAATTTGTTAAAATTTTCTAAATTTTCCCTTTTTCTTCTTTTTTCCTTTTTCTTTTTTATTTTCCTTTTTGGCCGGTGGCTTGTATCAGGCGATGGTCGACAAGGGCTGGCCTCGCTAGCCACAAGCAAGGCTAGCCCTTGTTAGATCTAGGCAAGGTTCGCCTTGCCCTCTCTCAGCGAGGGCTGGGCAAGGTGGCCCTTGCCCAGATTTGGGGAGGGTCCCACGACCCTCACCAACGGCCGGTGAGGGATTACTAGGCCCTCACCGATTATAATAAACGAAAAAGAAAAGAAAAGAGAAAATAGAAAAGAAAAAAATTAGAAAATTTGTTAAAATATTGTAAAAATTGTCTACGTCAACACAAGTGGTGTCAGGAGGATGGCTAATGTTCACGTCAGCGATTTTGGCCAAAATTGGCAAACTGTCAATAGGTTTAGAACTAAATTAGCATAATTGAAAAGTTTATGATTGAATTGAAAAGTTTAATAAATCAGGTCTAAAGCCCAGCCCAGCCCAGTCCAGCCCAAGGAAGTGAGGCCCAATGTTTGGAGGCAGCAAGGGCCCACGGCTTCTTTAGCTTCACTTCCTCTTCCAACCCTAAAACAAAGAAGAGTGAATTACGAAAATCAATGTATTTCATGCGTGCATGTTGCAGTTGCAAGAAGAAGTGGAGCTAAACCGCGAAGAAAAGCTTCGGCCTCCGCGAATTTGTCCTCCTCTGAATTCAAAGTCTCAATCTTTCTTCGTGCCCTGTTCGGCTCTCTCCTTGCCGAACGGTGGGTTTGTCTCGTTTTCGTTAAATTTCGTGTCACTCTTATGTTTTCTGATGCTTGGAAGTGGTAGGAGAATCCATTATAGCTGCTAAAGCTTTCGCGTTTGGTGCTAGTCCTGCATTGTTTCATCAATCACTTGTGCCACTGAAAGTTTCGATTCATTTGTTTATCCTGCAGCAAGAACTCAGAAGAACTTGAGCTAGCAAGACCATGGGGAAGAGGCCCAGGAGCCAGAAGAAGGAGACGAGGGGCTCTAACAGAAGGGCTTTCGATGAAGACGCGCCCTCGGAAGATATGGATGACGAAATAGATGCCTGTGAGTTATCTCCCTCGCTTGAGTATCTGCTAACTGGTGCTGCGTGCTTTCTGTTTGTGTAAATGCCCCTGTGAAGGTTGCTGCCTTTATTGATGGGTTTCTTCCTTTTTGATGCAGTTCATAAGCAAAGGGATGTTGTGCCGCTGAACATTCATAGTGATGCTGGGGAGTCAGATGATGACAATGAAGAGCCTGTCTTTGATTTTAAGGTACATATAGTTCCCTTTGGTACAGAATTGGTATAGTTCATCTAGTGAACTGGGTTTGGGACACAGTGGAGTTTTGTTTAGCGCAAATTAGAGAAGGTTTTTAAGGAATTTGGTGGTAATTAAATAAATGTTTGCATGACATGCGTTTGAATATTTGTATGGACCATACTGGTGTTGTGACATCCATCTTTTTGTGGTCATGTGACCTTTCCAAAGGCTTTTCTTTTATTGTTTTTTCTTTAGATTCTTCATATTAGCTGGTGAGCTATTGTGAAATTAACGTGCATGAGAGACATCCTTTCAAATGTTCTCATAAACTGATCATAACTTTACAAAATCTGGAATTGTAATGGTCATTATATAGGTGCTTCAAGATTATTAGTTGTTCCCCGACATCAGTTTGTTGGAAAGAGAAATTCATGGAATATTGTTTCTTGGAATCACATTTAGGATGACGATGATGAAGAGGAGGATGAAGATGATGACACTCAATTGACCGGGCTTGCTGCAAAAAGTAAGATATTTTTCTTATCCTGAGTTACTACTGCTGCCCACTGAAGTTGTCCCAATTCATCAGAGAGTTCCTAACTCACTGAAAGAAGTTGTTATATCTGCTCAACATTGTATATATATAACCGATCAGCTCTCTTAAATGGAGATTATTATGTGGAAAAAATATCCGGTTGGGTTGCTTTCTGTCAATATGCTCAATGTAACTACACGTAATCTTTCATATCAAAAGTCTATGGTGGCACTATCCCGATTCTCTTGTACTTGACATTTGTTCCATTGAAGTGGATTGAGCTTAAAAGGGTTAAACTAAAACTATTCTTCATCCCATGTAATTGATAATCCTCAGGGGGAGCCACGGAATAGCTATTCCTTCTAATTTACTAAATAGTGGAATAACTGCTCAATCAGGAATAGACTGAGAATACAGTAGCTATATCAATGAACAAAATGCCACTCAAGTTAAGGCTGTTACGTAGGCATGAGCTCCTCAGTCAATAATTCTGGTTAAGAAACTGGAAGTCTAGTTGGCCATGAAGTCCTTGAGAGTAAATGTGTTAACTGCTAATTGATGAAGAACTTTGAAATTGCAGTCTAAGAGCATGTAAACTTTTCTCGAGTCTGGTTTTTATGGGAATTTAGTGCTAGTTATCGATGGGATTGGCTTAAATAATAGTCTTTTAAGTTTTAACGAGTCTCCAAGAGTTGGCTTGCTCTGTATTACGCTCTTGCTTTCCTGTTTGTGTCGTTCCAAGGGTGAGACCTTTGAGGGCGAATTTGTGATGTCATAAACATCATATAAAAGTGATGGATTCTAAAAATCCATTTCCACGTTGTTGTTTATGTTGTTTCAGTTGCAAGACAGCAAAAGTTTTTGCGGGCAAAAATTGGTGGGGTGGAAGATGAAATGCACAACGAGGAGGAAGAAGATGAAGACAATAAGGCTGTTTGGGGTAGAAGTAAGAGACAGTACTATGATGCCGATGAGGTAAGTTGAGTTGGATATCTAAATTCATCCCTCATTATGAATCATTAAGTTGATAGGGGAGTGCTCTGTTAAACTACGAACTGATTGTGATTTCGCACGTATCAAGTTTTTCTCTTAAGAACCTGAGCGCTTCAAATTTGGCGTTTGAGTGGGCTTGAATTCTATGATTCTTTATATGAACAACAGGCAACCTCTAGCGACGAGGAAATTCCAGCAGAGGAGGAGGCAGAGGTGTTGAGATTGCAGAGGGAGAAAGCAAAATCATTATCAATGGAGGACTTTGGGCTTGAAGATATTAGCCCAGATGAGGCCACTGTGGAACCAACTTTAGGGGTAGCGTTTTCTGATAACCTTGTTTACTCTGTGGCTTTGTTTGTTCTTAAATGTTTTTCCCCTGGAGGAGGTCGGTAAAGTTACGAAGTAATAGTGCTGTATCAATTGCAACTTATTCATGATTCTGCAGGAAATTATGGTTGGAGGAACAGGTAAATTTGAATCTGCCATACGCGAAGGCACTGGAGATGATGTTGTAACAGCTTTTGAGGAGGTCAAAAAAGATTTGAATGCACTGTCAAAGGAGGAGCAAATGGATGTTGTATATAGGTATTTCCTCTCTTAAAGTGAACTATGTGTTGCTATTGATTATGGAATCACAACTGTAACTAGCAAGAGCTTAATCTTTTGCTGGGAAGATCAGTGTGGGAAAATTAGATAGACCGGCACATTTGTATTGACTATAACATACAATTGGTATTAACAATGAACTGTTTTGTATATGGCTTTAGTTTTTTGGGCTCTTTTTGTGTATGGTTTGCACCCCCTTGGTGCCCTATAGTTGAACTTTTTATATATGAAAAAAGAAAAAAGATCTTCAAAAAATGGATCTTCCAATGCATGTTTGTAATTTGTCATCGTACATTAAAGTGCTGCACTTTATTTGCTCGTCCTTGTTCATGGTATATCTGAAATTAGACTGTGGAAGCTTATGCAATTCGTATAATCCTTCTGTTAAAAAAATTGAATGATTTGTTGTCTGTGATTCCACTGTGCATCTTAGCTATTCCTATCCGTCAGGTGGTGATAGTCAGTCTTATCAGATTCATGAGAACTAGCCACTGAAATTTCAAGTAAAATAAACCAATCAAGCCAAATGTTCAAAAGCATAACTCAGCAACATCTTTCTTCCTTGATTAGAAAACATACTAGATAGCTTGAGGATTGTTTGGCTATGGTTTTGAAGTAACAAATAAAACCAATTCGACGAATTGCTTCTCTGGATTTTACTTATAAAAGCAACATTAAACATGAATGAAAAGGGAAAGACAACTGACCGATTTCTCCTTGTATATCTCACAATGATTTCCTCCTGGAATGTGGTCTTTCGGAAAAGGCGTTTCATTTTGATTGATTTTATAGTATTTAGTAAGCCACCTCCTTGTTGGGAAAAGAATTTGTTAACCTGGATGAGGAAGACACGTTAGCAGTAAAGGCTAATGGAGATGACCACACATGATAAGAGGAAAGGGGTGGGATTGTTGAGGCTTGGTAGATCTCTGCAATAATTGCGAGAATGTTGAATGACAAAATTCTTGTCCATTAAAGAGAAGCAAATAAAGAATCGGTTGGAGTTATGGATTACGTAGAAATTAATGATTCATATGTCATATAGTCATCCATTCAAATTTTACTCCTGGTCATACTTGATCTCATAATATACGGTATTTTCCTGTCAGAAGTTATCTTCCTCCAGTCCTACTCCTTAAGTTAACAAATGAAACATAAGGGATATGTATGCAGTAAGTTCCCCTGTCGTTGAATGAATTTCTTACTTAACAGGAAAAGGGAATTTATATGTAGTTCATGTACTTTATGTTCCTGCCTCTTTATTATATAGAATGTTTTTCTTGCAGTTCTGCTCCGGAATTGGTGGGACTGCTGTCTGAGCTGAATGATTCACTTGAAGAGCTTGAAAGCAGAATCAATCCACTTCTAAGCAAGGTATTTACTTTGGGCCCGTTTGGTTCAACATTTGGAAGGGCTTTCGGCCTCGAAAGCCCCTTGGCCAAATGCTAAACCGTTTGGTTCAGTTTTTTGAATCCGAAAAGCCGAAAGCTAGCATTTGGAATGCTTTGGAATGCTGAAGCCTATTTTTCCCTTCCCAAATTGCCCTCACTCAAATTTCAATATTCCGGTTTTGCCCCTGTTACTGTTCATCTTCCTCACCGCGAGGGTGGCCGGCGAGGGCGGATCTGGCCGGCGAAGGGCCGGCGAGGGGCCGGCGAGGTCGCCCAACCCAGGCGACGGCCGCCTGGGGTCGGGCGACCTCGCCGGCCCTTCGCCGGCCAGATCCGCCCTCGTCGGCCCTTCGCCGGCCAGATCCGCCCTCGTCGGCCCTTCGCCGGCCACCCTCGCCAGTGAAGAAGATGAACAGTATAGGGGCAAAATCGGAATATTAAAAATAAAAGTTGCCAAAGCCCTTTGCAAAAAAAAATTTACCAAACACTATTTAGGCCAAAGTAGCTTTACAAATGTTTTTTTACCAAACACCACTTGCATTTTCCCAAGTGACTTTCACCTAAAGGTATTTGCATTCCCCCAAATAGCATTTGAAAAGCCGAACCAAACGGGCCCTTTGTCAAAGAGGCATGCGCTAACAGATATGACTTGTTTTTACACCGAATGTTGAATCTCTCTAGTATGGAATGCTTTCGTTCAAGATTTCCTTAAGTTTTCTTGGCGTAAATTTATTTCTTTACACCAATCACTTTGAAGGTCCCTAGGAAGGATCTCACCAAAGAGGATGAATTGTAGCTATCCAATATTTTCTGTTAAGCTTTTGGTAAATTGCTTTGGTGTCTCGCTTTGAAGTTTTTTCGGCTTGGGTCTTTAATGTTTTTGATTCTTTGAGCTGTATTCCTATGCAAAGTTTGAAGTCCATTTGGCTCATATACAGCATTGGCTCATATTTTCTTGTTGTGCGGCGTGTGTCTTCCATTCTACGAAGGTTAAAAAGAGGGAAAGTACAATGAAAGGAGGATCACGCTATTTGGAAGTGAAGCAGACTCTGCTGCTGGCCTACTGCCAAGCAATTACTTTTTATCTCCTCCTTAAATCTGAGGGACAACCAGTTCGTGATCATCCTGTTATAGCTCGCCTTGTGGAGATCAAAAGCTTATTGGAGAAGGTACTTAAAGAAGCTATATGTTCTTATTTCTATTATTGATCTTATCTATAGATCTGCACATGCATGCTGCATGTCACGCTGATCAACATCGCTGTTAACTTTCAGCCTACTTGTTAGTTCCTGTTAGAAATCACTCTTGGGCATGATAGACAAAGTTACGATACACTGAATGGTATCATTGCTCCTGTCATTGTAGTGATTATGGTTAATATGCTGCTCAAGGAGTGTCTGGATGTATTTGCTAGCCTGTTTCAGTTTTTATCTTATTTTATTATGTTTAGCTATTTTCTAAATGATGTTGTAGCTGGCTCTATTAGCATGTAGGGATGTTTGATACAGTCTATGCTGCTAATTAAACATCTTTACTAAAACCTTCGTTGATTTTTAGATTTACATTTAGTGAGAACTAATGAGCCATTTTGTCGAGCTATGTAAGCCATTTATTTCTGGTGTCTCCCTTTTCGTTATGGTGGAATCAACTTCAACTGGTACCTGATTGTTATAAAATGACGATCTTTCTTCTGTAGTCCCTAAAATTTAGTGTGGCGTAGTATTCTGAGGGTGGAAGGGGATGATTGGAAGGTTGTCAGGAATGTGCACATGCATCTTTGTTCTTCAACATCTTTTGCAGTTAGCTTTTGATTTCCTTGAGGGTCAACTGACTATGCAAGTGCCTGGACATTGCTCTTTTTTTTTTCTTGGGTGAGTCATGCATACAACTGTGCCACTCACTTACTCAATGTTTGTGAACATATCACTCTGCTGCATTGCATGAGGTTTTGTCTACTTTCTTGTTACTTGTCAGTCTATGTTTATAGCTGTCAGAAATCTGAGATGCACTACCTTTGGCAGATGAAACAACTTGATGAAAACCTTCCTCCTCACCTTGAAGAGATTCTAAAAGAAAGTACTTCAGATGAAATGGCAGAAAAATTGATGAATGATGAAAATTTGTTGCAATCTGATGATTCTAGTGAAGATGACGAGTCCATTCTTCCGCCTATAGATGTTCAAGTTAAAGAGGCAAAAAATGTATGTTTCACCTCAATCAAGATTGTATATTTGCCTCCCCGTGTCTCTGTATTAACTTGAACGTTGGTTTTGCAGCCTCATGAACCCATTCAGAACAATGAGAAGAAAGGAGAGAAACATCAACCTCAGGTTAGTCTGGCTCAATTGAAGGTCAGTTCCTCTCTTTTCTAGCTGCATAAAATAGCTTAAGTATTCTTGTATCTGATTATCGCAAAATTTGGCAGAAGGAACAATTTGGGGTGCAAAGCTTGAAGATGTTAGAGGTGAGGGCTGCCCTTGAGGAAAAATTGAGGCACAAGAATGTTTTTAGTTCAATTGCTTCAAAAGGGGAGAAAAACCAAAAACATTCGAAACCAGTAAACGGGTACTGCTCTAATTGCCCACAACTGCTCTGTGTGTTAATTTAAGGCGTTTACTCAAGTTTTTTCTTCAACAGGCAGCTAGAGACCTATGCAGATTTCGACGATCATGCTACTGAAGATGTAGCATCTCGTCGTGGGTTGATGAGTGGGCATGTGGGGTCATTGGAATTAACTAAACTCTCCAATCTTCTGTGGGTTGAAAACAAGAGACAGAAGGTTTGGATCTCAGCATGATTATGTTCAATTTTTTCCTTTAAGTGCAAGAAATTATGTGATTGATCAAAATGTGTTTGCTGCAACTAGATAACTTCCTACCAAGGGGAATATATTGGTTAAAGATTCAAAATGGAAGTAAATTTCTATTTGGTACAGTCCTTGAACAATGTTCCTATCAGATGTTTCTGATGATTCAGGAATTAGTTACTCTAGAGTGGATGAGACTGTTAGGATAATCTAGTATGGATGGAACTAACCATGTCAGTAATATACCTAAAACATGGCAAAAAAGAAAAAAATCATCATGGGCTACAATTAGGGTATATGGCTAACACATTTTAACGCTTAGTTTTTACTTATTGTCATTATAGGATAATCTTGTAGGGATCATGTAAAGTAAAATATCTAAAAATTGGAAAAAAAAATTGTACTTTCCTGTCCCTTGAAGTTTTTGAGGAACTGTTTTTTATTCTTGCCATTGTATTCAGATTTCGATGTTGTCTCATACCTCTCTATGTCCCGACTCTTTTTTGATTGTTGGAAATGATATATGAAAGATGATAGATTGATATACCTTCCATTTAGATGATTGTTAAATTACCGCAGCAGTAATAGGGTTGTAAGTCGACCTAAGTACAATATTTTTATGGATTGGCCTTGCGCTGGATTTCTACTATATTATTAAACAGCTCAAGTGATAGTATCATAATGATTCTGGATCAAAGGAAGCTCTAAGTGACAGTACCATATTAATCCTGAAATGAATATAATGAATGAGAAGCTTTTCATCTTGCTCCTGGAAGGTCATATTGGGTGATGATGATTTGCCAAAGAGGGATGATATCGGAGAAAGGCGGAGGAAACATGAGCTTCAAGTATTGGCTGGAGCTGGCGTTCGGTCAGATGATGATCTCGGTGACGAAGATGGCAATCTTGAGGCTAATGGAGGTGCTGAATCCGAGGACAGTGAATCTGAAGAGTCAGCAGATGAGTTTTATAAGCAAGTGAAGCAGCAACGAGCTGCAAAACTTGCCGCAAAAGCAGAGATTTATTCAAGGTTTGTTTTCTGTTGCTCGTCCAATATGTTCCATCTTAATCTTAACGTGGTCCCAGAAGACTAATATTAAGCACCCATATGCATCAATCAATTACAACTTATGCTTTGAAAAGTATATTAATAGTTACGTGCAGGTATAGAACAAGGAGATCCTAGAAATTTCTCCAGTCATGTATGAGCTCCATGAATGAACCTATTCAAGATTTGTTTTCTTCTCCATTTCTATTTCTTGAAAATTTTTCCTAGACATTTGATATCGAGGGTTGAGACCTTTACTTACAAGGAAAAGTCTTAACATTGAACAATCTTTTGGAATGAAGACCAATTTTTATTACCAAATATAAAGCGCAAAACAACGTGGTGCGAGTGTATAATGTGTCTTCATATAAACAAATCATTTCTTTCTTTTTGAAGGATATTGAACCTTATCAAGCAGCTGGATTTAGCTTAAACTTGAACTTACATGATGTTATATCAATCTTTTTGCTACTTTATCCTATGGACTATTTAAATATTTAACAATATAGCAGGAAAAGGAAAGAGAAAATTCGAGGAGGGCGCATAGCATTCTGGATCTAATTAAAATGTAGAAACCGAATGAAGATTAAAGAAAAGATGTGAGAGAGCTACCAATGCATCAAAATCATGGACCTATAGCTTGCAAAATGCACGAGTTTTCTTTTGTTTTTGTGACAGATATGAAAACTCAATGGAAATATTTAGTGCCTTGTCATGGTAAAATTGCTCTAAGAATGTGATCAATTTGTGGTTAACTTTGATGCGCCTACAGGGATCTGGCAATTCCATCCTTGCCTGAAACATTCGATGGAAAGCGCCATATCACTTATCAGGTGAGCCTGCGTGCAATGGTGTCAGTTCCATTAATGGTCTTAGCTACTCATTGCCATAGTCAAAGATTTAACTTTTGCTGTGAAAATGTTTTAGATGGAGAAAAATAGAGGACTGACGCGTAATCGGAAGAAACTAACGAAAAATCCAAGGAAGAAGTACCGGGTGAGTCAAGAAAATCTGCTTGTTGATGTATATTCTCATGTCGACTTTCGATATTGCCTGGAATTTATGTTCATTTTGCGTGCAGAGTAAGCATGAGAAGGCAGTGGTCCGACGAAAAGGGCAAGTTCGGGAGATCAGAAAGCCTTCCGGACCTTATGGTGGGGAGGCATCTGGTATTAATGCAGGAATCAGTCGAAGTGTTAGATTCAAGAGCTAAATGCTACTTTGGGTTGAAATCTGTCGCACGGACCTTGGATCAACCTGCCAGTGATTTGGGTGACATGAGTATATAGTCAAGTTTGGATGACTTAGGAGCACTGGCAGATAATACATATTCCCATCATTGGCAGGCCATTTTTGTTAGTATCAGACTGAAGTTTTGCTTGAGTTGAGATTGATTTCCATGTCGAAGGCCTGTATTATTAGCGAGAAACTTGGTCAGAATTTCGTTTTAAAGATTTTAACTTCTTCCATTGTCTTTTCCTGTTTTTTTCAAAGAAGCCAATCTGTATGTTCAGTTTTACTCCCGCCCAAAGGGACTTTTCTCTTCAGCTAGGATTAAATATTATCGAATGAATTTGAGCTGAGAATGGACTGTGTTCCACTATGTGATCACGAAGCATGGTATACTTTTAGAACGTGAGGTGTCGCCTCTGATCTCAGGGGAGAGCTACCAGAAATGACTGGAAGGACACATTCCGGCTAGTGCTCAGCTCACATTAGAAATATGCAAGTGATGTCTGGTGATCCTTCTCAGTGAGAATTATAGCAAGACTCAAAGCAATTTTAAAGAGGAAGCCACAGGGTTCCGAGAAGAGAAAAGAGGGAACTACAGGTAAATATAGTCTCATTCATGAACAAGAGTATCGACATTTTGGTTTCTTAGAGATGAGGCTCGTCGGAACTAGGAAGTGTGTCTGAACTGCCAAACCATCCGGTGCATCTGGGCTAATCAGGCCACTGTTTATTCGAATCTCTCATTTGTGGATGAGGGGCTCCTGTCTTTCAGTTTCAGTTTCCTACCAAGACAACGATGAATCTGCTCATGATGGGAGGGCTTCCACTATGATGATGGAGATCGTTTTGGGATGACCTGGTTATGACGCTTTGGGAGCCGGGATGAAGCGACGTCTTCAGAACCATGGCAAGCAAAATGAGGGGGGAAGAGCAAAATCTGGTATTCTTCGAGGGTTATGGACCTTCTCCTGGTTAAATGGGAGAGAGTTTTCAGTGAGGCCGGTCCATCCACGCTACTAACGTGGAATAAGTAACTCCAAAGAAGAGATTTTAAGAGCCTTTAAAACTCAATTCGACCCGTCCAAACAAAGACTTATGGAAATAATAATTGAGGAAAGGAAAAGAAAATAAGATGACTTTACTACTTTAAATAATAATTTCATAGTCTGAGAGAGCACACCATCTTTAACAATTAGGAGTCTCAACACTTAATTAAACCCAAAAGATAACGCCATCTCTAACTATTAAGATCATGCCGTTATTTGACTTTGGACCCGCTCAAACGAGGGGTACCTATGGATCCTTGGTGTTGGTTAAAAAATTACTATCCACACTACTTATATGGAATAAATAATTTCAAATAAGATTTTAAGAGCCTTTAAAACTCAATTCGACCCGTTCAAACAAAGACTTAAGGAAATAATAATTGAAGAAGGGAAAAGAGAATAAGACGACTTACTACTTCAAATAATTCCAAAGTCTGAGAGAACAGGCCATCTTTGGACAATTAAGAGTCTTTAACACTTAATTAAACCCAAAGGATCATGCTAGGATCATGCCATTGTTTGACTTTGGACCGGCTCAAGCGAGACTTATGGCAAAAAAAAAAAAGAAAAAAAAGAAATGCGTACTAATCGATATGATGAGTGGGCAGAAAACCCCATTTAACATATCTGCTTTCGACCCAATATCTCCTTCACGTCTTCCATCTTCTGGTGTTTCAGAAACGTGCCCGATATGCTGTCGAAGAACCTCCCCTGCCCGCGCTGCAACTCCACCAACACCGAGTCAGGGTTATACTGGTACAAGCCCTCCAACTTGTCCCAGCCCCGCCACTTATGCAAGTCCTGCCACCGCTGCTGGACCCACAGTGACGAGAAGCCGAGCTTCGCTTCTCTGTCGAATGCTCACGAGCTTCTTCGGTTCCGGGTGGGCTCGATGACATGGGGATCGGGCTCGGGATTCCACCACTTCAGAAAACCACTGCTTCTCCTCTTCCCCATCCCCTCCCAATCACCCAAACTTCTCCTTCTTACCCTGGGCTGACACCGACCAAGCTCAATGTTTCTGTCAAACACAAGCGGCGAGGTCATTGGTCTTGCTCACGAAGCCAGTGATATCGAGAAGGGAGGCATGCACTCCTCGGATGGTTAGAAATGCATTAGTTGATTTTGTGCATCTCTCGCATTGTAATCTTGTTGTCTTGTTTGGTGGTAATTCTTATTGTAATATTATGTTACTATATATAACCATCGTGTAAAGCCTATTAATAGGCTATTGTATAATTCATCAATAATATAAAACAATTCCAAAACTTTATTTTTCGCTTTACTTTTATTATGATATCAGAGCCATTATAGATTGAGGAAAAGCCATTGAGTCTATTACAAGGTAGCGGTGGTCATAGCAACATAACGTCAGTCGTGCCGGTATTCGTCTTTAGTTAAAACCGATGCCATTGAGTGTTGTTACGCCATTTTCTGCTGCTTCTTTAGCAAAATTGACACCACCGTCAGACTCATTGGCCGAAAAAGAGCCAACCCTCAAATTTCATTGTTGTTCGCTGTTGTACGTGCCCTCACACTCCACTACGTCTCAGATTCACCGACCCTGACAACTTTCGATGCTATTCCGACACTTTAGCTATCATAAAATGACAAATAACCACTACCATCCGCTTCTCCATCCTCCGATGAGTCAGGATCTAGAAAGCTCGTCACCGTCCGACGTTGTTTGCGCCTCCATACGCCAGCAGCCATCTCTGCGAGTGAAATCCACGTGCCTCTCACGTGATCTGCTGCGCCAGCTGAACAAGTAACGTCATCCTCTACGTTAGCGCCACGTTTCAGCCACTTGGTTGACACATGTCTGCCATGTCATCCTCTGACCGTGATTGTTGATTGCGCTAATCGCCGTTGACCCTTGTTGACCGATGTTGACCATACATTGACTTTCGTTGACCAGACCAGTTCATCTACCTTTATAACAGGTTCAACTCATTTCAGACTGCTGCTTGTGGCTTTCAACCGGTTCCTAAGGTATTTCGACATCATGAATATGTTTTTGACCTTATTTTCTCCATATCAGCTTTGCAAGTATCGGTTTTTCTTTGAACTCATTATAGAATTTACTAGGTTGATACTATTACATTGCATATTATGAAAAAATTGGAAGTTTTAATAACCGTTCAAACCATTTTGAATGGTTCCAATGATATTTTATGGGCCGAAGAAATATCTAGTTTTTTTAGAGGACACCAGCTCTGGCGTTACGTCACTGACTACTCACTGGTGCTACTCATGCACCTACTCATATTACTAGTGAAGCTGAGGAGATATTTAACGAACACTTGGAGGAGTGGGATAGCAAGAATCATCATATACTTATGTGATTTCGAAACACTTTGATTCTTTCGATTAGACTTCAATTTGACCGTCTTAATATGGCAAAGGAAGCATGTGATCGGCTTGCCCATCGATATTCCACTTCAAATATTGCCCATTGGTGTCAGCTGTTAAGGAATTTGCATCACATGCATCAAGAGACAGGTCAGTCTATTAATGATTTTTTATCCTCCATGCATGCTATTTGGGATCAATTAGCATTATCTGAACTACAATGGGACGCAGATTCTGATGCTTGCAAATTTGCTGAATATCACGATCGCATGGGTGCTATGAAATTTTTTATGACACTTAATGATGATTTTGAACCTATGCTAGCTTCACTTCTACATCGAGATCCATTATTCCGTCTTAAGACAGTTGACTCAGAGTTGTTGAGTGAGGAGACTTGACTTGCTTCATTGAAGGTGCAACGCTCTTTGCCTTGCCTACAGACACGGTGCTTGCCACTCCTAGTTCTTCTTCCTCACGCATATAGTATTGTACGAATAATCATCGATCTTGTTATTTTGCATCCAATTATTATCGACGACAATCTAGGCAACCTACAGGGACAAACAACCGATCTCGGTACAAAGGGCTACCTCAACCTGCATGTCAATCCTCTGTGCTATCATTGAGGGTTCCACCAAAGACTATCTGTTACTCTATCATTAATAGATCTTCGTTCTATTCTTCGAGAATATGGTACTTCTCGCTCCTCTATTCCTAGAACTTATGTTGTGTCAGTCACTCAAGGTACTCTTGATTCATGGTTCTTTGATTTCGCCTATTGTAATCACATGACTTCCAATTTCAATTTATTTAAGTCAAAATCATTTGCTTCACAAGTACCTACTATTCATATAGCCGATAACTACCATATGATAGTTAGCACACAGGGGACATTTCGACATTCAAATTGTCCTTACTTGATATCTTCGTAGATCCTAAACTCTCTTTAAACTTGAATCTGTGGGACAATCATGTGAACTTGATTTTGATATTCATTTCTCCTCAAATGGTTGCTGTGTGTAGGATTTACAAATAGGACAAACAATTGGGATAGGCTATAAAGTGGAACATTTGTTTGAGCTTGTTTCCTTTCAGTTTTCAAACTCCTTCTTTGGTTGTGCTGCCATAGTTTCATATGAAACTTGGCATTCTCGCTTGGGTCATGCTTCTTTCTCTAGATTAGGTCCTTTAATTTCCAATGGCCATCTAGATTCTGTTGACAATAAGCATTTTGATTGATCATCTTGTTAGTTGAGAAAACATCATACTTTACCATTTGATCTTTGTGATTTTCGTCTCTTATGCACCCTTTGATCTTATTCACTTCGATATTTGGGGGCCATCCCCTACTCCAACTATGATGAGTTATTGAATTCTGCTACTCATGATAATTCTCATGAAGACAAAATTGATGGAGGTGAATCACATGTTCACCAAAATCATGTTGAAATTGGTGACTCATTCAGTGCCCTGCTTAATTCTCCATGCAATTTGGCAAATGAAGATTCCTCTATGGATGTCCTTCATGATTCTTCAGTAGCATGTTCATCCACTCAAAATCATTTAATGATAACTCAAGCACATGCTGGTATTGGGAAGCCTAATCCAAGATATGCCAACTTACATATGATGGATTCTATACTGAAGGAACTGAACAATGTATGCTTTGCTTTAAGC